ACACTGACAGCTCGAGAGGAGAGCTGGTAATTGGCATTCCTCGGAGGGGACATGTACACTGATCATAAGGACACTGATGATCAGTGTGCCCTGATGATCAGTGTAGCCCCAGCAGTGCCACCTGTCAGTGCCCATAAATGCCACCTGCCAGTGCCCATCAGTGCCTCATCAATGCCACATATCGGTGCCTACCAGTGCACATCAATGCCACATATCAGTGCCCATGTGAGCTGCCTTTCAGTGTCACCTATCAATGCCAGTCAGTGCCGCCTATCAGGGCCAGTCAGTGCCGCATATCAGTGCCATATAGGAGTGCTGCCTTTCAGTGCCATCTACTAGTGCCTCCTCATAAGTGCCCAGCAGTGCCACGTATCAGTGCAGCCTATCAGTGCCCATCAGTGCAGCCTCATTAGCGCACTTCTTCACTAAAAAATTCCCAATTTGTGTAAATTAATTGGTTTACGTGAAAGTTATAGCGTTTACAAATGGCAGTATATACACTGGAATTGTAAAAAAAAATTAATAGTAATGGCGGCGATCAGCGACTTATAGTGGGACTGCAGTGGGCATTCTGACACTAGGGGGGAACTGACTTGGTGTCACTGACATCCCCAGTGACACCAATACAGTGATCAGTGCTAACAACAAAAAAAAAAAAAAACAATGGCACTGTACTAATTGCATTTGGCAGGAAGGGATTAACATGAGGGGCGACCAAAGGGTTAACTGTGTGCTGGTGTGTTTTACTATGGGGCCGTGTGTTTTGTGCTTCACTGTAAGCATGCTGCTTTGTATGGCGGTGCTGTGCAGAGCCATGCAAAGCAGTGTGCACAAGCTGACAGGGAGGAGTACTGTTTTGTTTACAAACATTTCTCCTCCCCATCAGAGATCCTTGGCAATCACCAAGCGCCGGCAAGTAATCACCGGACCCGGTGATTGACAGCCACGAATAGCAGTGCGGGTAGGGCGCGCACGCTCCCTACCCGGAAATGCAAAATTATGTATATATATATACACGTGATTTTGCGCACCCGTGCCACCCTGTAGCAGTATTTATGCTATAGGGCGGACGGGAAGTGGTTAAATTATGTGTGTCAGTGTTGGAGAGATTTACCCTCATTTCTTTTTCTGATATTTAGATATGATGTTAGTGGAGATATACACTATATTGCTAAAGTATTGGGACCCCTGCTTTTACACGCACATTTACTCTAATGGCATCCCAGTCTTAGTCCGTAGGGTTTAATACTGAGTTGGCCCACCCTTTGCAGCTATAACAGCTTCAACTCTTCTGGGAAGGCTGTACACAAGGTTTAGGAGTGTGTCTATGGGAATGTTTGACCATTCTTCCAGAAGCGCATTTGTGAGGTCAGGCACTGATGTCGGACAAGAAGGAATGGTTCGCAGTTTACGCTCTAATTCATCCCAAAGGTGTTCTCTCAGGTTAAGGTCAGGACTCTGTGCAGGCCAGTCAAGTTCCTCCACCCCAAACGCAGTCATCCATGACTTTATGGACCTTGCTTTGTGCACTGGTGCGCAGTCATGTTTGATCAGGAACGGGCCATCCTCAAAATGTTCCCACAAAGTTGGGAGCATGAAATTGTCCAAAATGTCTTGGTATGCTGACGCCTTAAGAGTTCCCTTAACAGGAACTAAGGGGCCAAGCCCAAACCCTGAAAAACAACCCCACACTATAATCCCTCCTCCACCAAACTTTACACTTAGCACAATGTGGTCAGGAAAGTAACATTTTCCTGGCAACCACCAAACCCAGACACAGCCATCGGTTTGCCAGACAGAGAAACGTGATTTGTCACTCCAGAGAACACATCTCCACTGCTCTAGAGTGCTTTACACCACTGCATCTGATGCTTTGCATTGCAGTTGGTGACGCAAGGCTTGGATGCAGCTGCTCGATTATTCCATGAAGCTCTCTACACACTGTTGTTGTGCGAATCTGAAGACCACATGAAGTTTGGAGGTCTTTCGCTATTGACTCTGCAGACAGTTGCCAAACTTCTGCGCACTGTGCTCTTCAGCATGCCTGACCCCACTCTGTCATTTTATGTGGCCTTCCACTTCACGGCTGAGTTGCTGTTGTTCCCAGTTGCTACCTATCACGGAACCATGCTTGAATTTACTGAGCTCCTGAGAGTGACCCATTCTTTCACAAATGTTTGTAGAAGCAGTCTTATTCCTAAGTGCTTTATTTTATACACCTGTGGCTATGGAGGTGATTGGAATACCTGAATCCAATTATTTGGAGGGGTGTGCCAATACTTTTGGGCAATATAGCGTGTGTTCAAGGAATGCAGGCAAAAATAAAATCCTAATGGGCTCTAAAGCTCAAAGTAAGGTCATGCACACTTCAAATTTCTCTTCTTCAGCCCCTTGGGGTCATGGAAACATGCACTTTTCCAGTTATTAATGGTTGAAATACACTGGAGGTCTTCAGCTGCCTATGGTCTGTTCTGGGCTTTTGGTTTGTCTTTGTACCGGCTACTTTCACAATGATCCATAGCAAAAATGCCTATGTATTTTTTCCACATTTTTACCACATTTGCAGTGTGTTTTTTTACAGGACATGTGACTCAAAAACTGCACTAAAAATGCAATTAATTGCTTTCAATGGGGAGGTGCCTTTTTGGTGTGGTTTTTTTTACTGAGCCAAACCTGCACCAAAAATGCAGCAAGCTGGATTTTTGAAAACTCATCAGACCCTTATTGGATCAGTGTGAAGAGTTCCGTAGGAATACATGATCACAAATTTTTGTTTTTTTAAATGAAAAAGCGGAAGAAAAACAGGGGAACTAATTACCTCCAGGCATGGTGTATTCTAACCTGTTCCTATGGTCAATGAATACCGACCTTCCTGAAAAATTCACTTGGAAGCACATTTTTATTTAATTATCTTAAGAGCTACATAGTTAGTCTAGTTAAAAAAAAAAGACACAAGTCCATCTTGTTCAACCAACAAAAAAGAAACAAAATGGAAAAAAAAACATTTTATACAATCCTATACCCTATACACAATCCTATACCAACAGTTGATCAAGAGGAAGGCAAAAAACCCCAGCAAAGCATGATCCAATTTGCTCCAGCAGGAGAAAAAAAATCCTTCCTGATCCCCAGAGAGGCAATCCGATATTCCCTGGATCAACTTTACCTATAAATTTTAGTATCCAGTGGCAAGCTGTCACAATTTGAAAGACAATTACTCAGGCATGCAATATCGTACCCAAATTAATTTTTCTGGTGGTATTTAATCACCGCTGTTTTTTGTTTGTTTTTTTATTTCTTGCTATATAAACGGAAAAAAAAAAAATTTTTGAAAAAAAATTAAATTTTTCTTAGTTGTCAAGTTAAGATTTTGCAAATAAATAATCTTTCTTCATAAATTTTAGCCACAATGTATTTTGCTAAATTTCTTTGGTAAACAAAAATAGTCCAAATCAATGTATATTATTTAGTTTGTGTGAAAGTTAGAATCTACAAACTATGGTACATATATTTAAAATTTGATCAGTCGTGATGTACTGATTTTTTATCTCATTTTAGGGTGCTAAGTGCTTACCCCTTTCCCGTTCAATCATGGAGAAACTCTAAAACAGAAACAGAATCCTTAGTAATTAATCCTTTAAATCGACACCATAAATTATAGCACTTCGAAGTTTTTAAAGTGGCTCTAAAGGCTCAAAGTTTTTTAACTTCATGAGGCAGCAGCAGGATCACAGCCAGTCAATCACAGCCATTGAGCCAATCAGGAGAGGGAGGGGGCAAGGCTCTATGTGTGAATGGACATCCAGAGCTTTGGCTCAGGAGCATGCCTGTTTGGGTGCCCCCATGGCAAGCTGATTGCCATGGGGGTACTCGACAGGAGGAAGGGGCCAGGAGCACTGGCCAGGGACCTGAGAAGAGGAGGATCCAGGTTGCTGTGTGCAAAACCATTGCACAGAGCAGGTAAGTATGACATGTTTGTTATTACAAAAAAAAAAAAAAGACTTTAGTATCACTTTAAGTAAATGACTCTTGTAACCTTCTTTCTGCTAGCTAGCAGGGTGGTAAAAGGCTTATTCGATAAACTTTTCTTTCTTAGTAACTCCTCCTCGGAAACCAGAATGCTAGTTTGAGGTGTTCTTCTCTTGGATTAAATAGGGGCCCCTGAACCAGCAGCTCCTTCCTGACTGGAAATATCCAAGAAGCCTCTAATACCAGAATAGAGCTATGAGGTTCAAAGCTGTGGATTCTTCCAGAAAAAATTCCAGGACTACAGGAATCAACTGGAATGGGGGAAATGCATAACACACAGTTGGTAAGGCCAAGGATGAGCCAGAGCATCTGTCCCCAATGCCTGAAAAAGATAAATATTAAACAAGACAAATGGGGAAGGCAGATAAATGAGTTTCAGTTTTCTTACTTGGAGGTTCATCTCAGTGTTTAAAAACCAGCGATACAATTGACTTTAAGGTGTATAGCCACCATTTTTCTTTCCTGAGCAGTATGGTATTAAAATCACACCTTCTTGATGATTGTTTAAGGGCATAAATGCCCTTAACTTTCATACCATCTAAACTACCCCCATGAACCTTACAAAAGTGTTTGGCTAAAGATTCCTCAGGGTTTTTTTTTCTTTAATTTACCACATATACTCACCTATCTGAAATTTAAGCTATCTTTGGTTTTTTACCAATGTAAATCTTATCACACGGGCAGCATATATATCACCCTAGAGGTAGAACAATTAATTAGATCTTTGATCTGGTACTTTTTTTTTCTGGAATCCATAAACTAGAGATGAGCGAAGTATTCAAAAATTCGATTCGGCTGATTCGGCGAATTCGAGGAATAAATTTGATTCGAGGCGAATATATTCGCTGCGAAATTAACTTATAAAAAGGGTGTTTCTAGGCTTCAGAGAGCCTTTATATTAGTGCAGAACACTGTACCCTTAATTTAAATGCCCTTGGAGTCTGCTGGGGAAGAGAAATAATACTGTCAGTCAGTATGACATGCAGATGAGTGCCGTCAATCTTAGAATCACCGCACACTTCACTCATTTGGGCAGTCACGGGGCCAAAACCAGAGTGTGGAGCCACAGTGTGGCGGTGGAGGCAGCAGCAATGGGAGGCCATACAGCACCCTATGACAAAATGGAACCCACCAGCAGTGTGAGGAGATGTGAAAGTGGCACATGGCAGAGTGTGGCGATGGAGACAGCAGCAATGGGAGGCCGTACAGGGACCCATGAGACACTCTGGACCTGGCAGCAGCATGAGGAGGCGGTACAGGGGCCCATGACAGATTACGGGCCTGGCAGCAGCATGAGGAGTCGGTACGGGGGCCCATGGCAGATTACGGGCTGGCAGCAGCAATGGGAGGCCCGTAATCTGCCAGCACCCTATGACAAAATGGAACCCACCAGCAGTGTGAGGAGACCTGAAAGTGGCACATGGCAGAGTGTGGTGATGGAGACAGCAGCAATGGGAGGCCGTACAGGGACCCATGAGACACTCTGGACCTGGCAGCAGCATGAGGAGGCGGTACAGGGGCCCATGACAGATTAAGGGCCTGGCAGCAGCATGAGGAGTCGGTACGGGGCCCATGGCAGATTACGGGCCTGGCAGCAGCAATGGGAGGCCCGTAATCTGCCAGCACCCTATGACAAAATGGAACCCACCAGCAGTGTGAGGAGACCTGAAAGTGCACATGGCAGACTGTGGTGATGGAGACAGCAGCAAATGGGAGGCCGTACAGGGACCCATGAGACACTCTGGACCTGGCAGCAGCAATTGAGGAGTGGCGGTACGGGGGGCCCACATGGCAGATTACGGGCCTGGCAGCAGCAATGGGAGGCCCGTAATCTGCCAGCACCCTATGACAAAATGGAACCCACCAGCAGTGTGAGGAGACCTGAAAGTGGCACATGGCAGAGTGTGGCGATGGAGACAGCAGCAATGGGAGGCCGTACAGGGACCCATGATGAGACACTCTGGACCTGGCAGCAGCATGAGGAGTCGGTACGGGGGCCCATGGCAGATTAACGGGCCTGGCAGCAGCAATGGGAGGCCCGTAATCTTGCCAGCACCCTATGACAAAATGGAACCCACCAGCAGTGTGAGGAGACCTGAAAGTGGCACATGGCAGAGTGTGGCGATGGAGATAGCAGCAATGGGAGGGCTGTACAGGGGACCCATGAGGACACTCTGGACCTGGCAGCAGCATGAGGAGGCGGTACGGGGACCCATGGCAGATTACGGGCCTGGCAGCAGCAATGGGAGGCCCGTAATCTGCCAGCACCTTATGACAAAATGGAACCCACCAGCAGTGTGAGGAGACCTGAAAGTGACACATGGCAGAGTGTGGCGATGGAGACAGCAGCAATGGGAGGCCGTACAGGGACCCATGAGACACTCTGGGACCTGGCAGCAGCATGAGGAGGCGGTACGGGGGCCCATGGCAGATTACAGGCCTGGCAGCAGCAATGGGAGGCCCGTAATCTGCCAGCACCCTATGACAAAAATGGAACCCACCAGCAGTGTGAGGAGACCTGAAAGTGGCACATGGCAGAGTGTGGCGATGGAGACAGCAGCAATGGGAGGCCGTACAGGGACCCATGAGACACTCTGGACCTGGCAGCAGCATGAGGAGTCGGTACGGGGGGCCCATGGCAGATTACGGGCCTGGCAGCAGCAATGGGGAGCCCGTAATCTGCCAGCACCTATGACAAAATGGAACCCACCAGCAGTGTGAGGAGACCTGAAAGTGGCACATGGCAGAGTGTTGGCGATGGAGACAGCAGCAATGGGAGGCCGAACAGGGACCCATGAGACACTCTGGACCCTGGCAAAGCAGCATGAGGAGGCGGGTACAGGGGCCCATGACAGATTACGGGCCTGGCAGCAGCATGAGGAGTCGGTACGGGGGCCCATGGCAGATTACGGGCCTGGCAGCAGCAATGGGAGGCCCGTAATCTGCCAGCAACCCTATGACAAAATGGAACCCACCAGCAGTGTGAGGAGACCTGAAAGTGGCACATGGCAGAGTGTGGCGATGGAGACAGCAGCAATGGGAGGCCGTACAGGGACCATGACAGATTACGGGCCTGGCAGCAGCATGAGGAGGCGGTACAGGGGCCCATGACAGATTACGGCCTGGCAGCAAGCAATGGGAGGCCCGTAATCTGCCAGCACCCTATGACAAAATGGAACCCACCAGCAGTGTGAGGAGACCTGAAAGTGGCACATGGCAGAGTGTGGCGATGGAGACAGCAGCAATGGGAGGCCGTACAGGGGACCCATGAGAGACTCTGGACCTGGCAGCAGCATGAGGAGGCGGTACGGGGGCCCATGGCAGATTACGGGCCTGGCAGCAGCAATGGAGGCCCGTAATCTGCCAGCACCCTATGACAAAATGGAAACCCACCAGCAGTGTGAGGAGACCTGAAAGTGGCACATGGCAGTGTGTGGCGATGGAGACAGCAGCAATGGGAGGCCCGTACAGGGACCCATGACAGATTACGGGCTGGCAGCAGCATGAGGAGGCGGTACAGGGGCATGACAGATTACGGGCCTGGCAGCAGCAATGGGAGGCCCGTAATCTGCCAGCACCCTATGACAAAATGGAACCCACCAGCAGTGTGAGGAGACCTGAAAGTGGCACATGGCAGAGTGTGGCGATGGAGATAGCAGCAATGGGAGGCCGTACAGGGACCCATGACAGACTACGGGCCTGGCAGCAGCATGAGGAGGCGGTACAGGGCCCATGGCAGATTACGGGCCTGGCAGCAGCAATGGGAGGCCCGTAATCTTGCCAGCACCCTATGACAAAATGGAACCCACCAGCAGTGTGAGGAGACCTGAAAGTGGCACATGGCAGAGTGTGGCGATGGAGACAGCAGCAATGGGAGGCCATACAGGGGACCCATGAGACACTCTGGACCTGGCAGCAGCATGAGGAGGCGGTACGGGGGCCCATGGCAGATTACGGGCCTGGCAGCAGCAATGGGAGGCCCGTAATCTGCCAGCACCCTATGACAAAATGGAACCCACCAGCAGTGTGAGGAGACCTGAAAGTGGCACATGGCAGAGTGTGGCGATGGAGACCAGCAGCAATGGGAGGCCGTACAGGGACCCATGACAGATTACGGGCCTGGCAGCAGCATGAGGAGGGGGTACAGGGGCCCATGGCAGATTAGGGGCCTGCAGCAGCAATGGGAGGCCCGTAATCTGCCAGCACCCTATGACAAAATGGAACCCACCAGCAGTGTGAGGAGACCTGAAAGTGGCACATGGCAGAGTGTGGGCGATGGAGACAGCAGCAATGGGAGGCCGTACAGGGACCCATGACACACTCTGGACCTGGCAGCAGCAAGAGGAGGCGGTACAGGGGCCCATGGCATGAGTGGCGAAGCGTAAGCAGATTAAATTGAATAGGCCATACAGAGGCCTATGTTAAAAATAATAACATGTTTGGGGCATGAATTCATGGCGGATTTAGTCAGTTGTGTCAGGAACTGGTGGTTTGAAATCCAGACTAATCCACGCCTGATTCATTTTCACAAACGTGAAGTCTCTCACACTCTTGGGTGGACAGTCGTGCCCTCCGCGGAGTTACAATACCTCCTGCCGCACTAAACACGCGCTCCGATGCCACGCTACTGGCCGGGCATGACAGCCTTTTCAAGGGCAAATTCAGCTAGTTGGGGCCCAAAGGTCAAGTTTCGTTTGAGCCCAGTAGTCAAGGGGATTTGTCTACCTCGGTGGCAGGGTGCTGTCCAAGTAGGCCCAAGCCTGTTGTTTGAGGTCCTGCTCCAGGTCCACCTGATGCTGCTGCTGCTGCTGCTGCGGCTGGTTAGTAGTTTCCTCACTGCGCTGGTGAAGAAAGTCTACTCATCATCGACTGCAGACTGAGGCAGCCCGCTGCTGGTGGAGCTGCCACTGCTCCTACCCCACCCCCTACCCCTGCTGCCATGGCAGCGGAACGCGAGCGCACAGGGCCCACAGTGTCTGAGGATGGACGTTTGGCGCAGAAAGGCAGAGACCAACTGACTACATAGGTGGTTTTTATAGTACGTTATTTTGGCCTCAACCTCTCAGCAGGTGTGAAAAAGGCCACCATTTTTGAACGGTAGCGAGGGTCCAACAAGGTGGACAGCCAAAAAGTCATCCCTCTGTCTGATGGTTATTATTCGGCTGTCGCTACGCAAGCAACCCGAGCATGCTATGGCCATTGTGCCAAGGAATGCGAGAAACTCCCTGCCTCCATCTCCACAGCATACTGCCACGGTGCGTCTGGGTCCTCTGTCTCCTCCTCCTCCTCTACCAGATGCTCCTGCTACTCCACTCCTGTCCGCTGAGTGGAAAAACCACCCATTTCACTCAATAATTCCTGAGCACCAATGAGTCCTCCTCTAACTCCTCCCTCTTCTTCCTGTCCTGCCCCCACAGGGGTCATGTGGCGTTGAGATCTGTGCACCACGTCTACCGCACCCTGACCAGCCATTGTTAACAATTTTTACCCCCCCCCCCCCCCCCACCCAGGCAATTTGTTCCAGGACGTGCAACAGAGGAATGACGTCGTTCATCCCATAGTCCTCCGACTCACGAATAGCGTGGCCTCCTCAAAGGGCCTGAGCAAGCGGCAGGTGTCACGCATGAGCTGCCAATGGCTGACATCTAAGGTTACACAGGGGGAGTACCTTTATCCGCTTGTAACATCAGGAAATCAGTGATGGCCTTTCGCTGTTCATAAAGGCGGTCTAACATATGTAGGGTGAATTCCACCTTGTTGCAACGTCGCAGATCAGGCGATGCTGTGGAATTCCGTTCTGCAAGCGCAGCTCAAGGAGGGTGTGCTTTGCGGTGTAGGAATGGCTGAAATGCATGCAAAGTTTACGTGACATTTTAAGGATGTCTTGCAGTGGGATGGTGGATTTAGGAACCGCTTGACAACCAGATTGAACACGTGAGCCATGCATGGCGCATGGCACAACCTTCCTTGACGCAGAGCAGACACCATGTTCTTTCCGTTGTCGGTCAACATGGTTCCGATTTTAAGTTTGCGCGGAGACAGCCATCTGTCGATTTCTCTGTTCATTACACTCAGAAGTTCATCCCCTGTGTGACTACGTTCGCCAAGGCATACCAGGTGCAGCACAGCGTGACACCGTTGCGCCCTGCACATGTTGATATGCCGGTCGGGTAATGGGACTTGGCACGGGGGTGGCAGCTGAGGGACACGGCGGAAGAAGAGGGTGGTAGAGGCGGACATCTTTGCTGGACCAAGGACGTGCAAAAACGTGGAGGCAAAAGCGGCGTGACCTGTCCAAGTTGCTGGTGCGGCTGTGCCAGCACCACGTTCACCCAGTGGGCCGTAAATGACATGTACTGTCCCCTGACCGTAGTTACAGCTCCACACGTCGGCGCTTGCCGTGCACCTTTGGCAGAGACCGACATGCTCAAAGACTGGCCCACCATCTCTTCTACATGTGAATGCAGGGCTGGCACTGCCTTTTGGCGAAGAAATGCGGCTTGGCACTCTCCACCGCGGCTCGGCACAAGCCATCATTTCTCGGAAAGGTGCTGAGTCCACCAGTTGGAAAGGGAGGGACTGCAGCACCAGCAACTTGGACAGGAGGACGTTCAGCTTCTGCACCGTGGGTGCGTGCTCGCAAACTATTGTCTCTTGGAAACGGATTCCAAGAAAGACTGCTGACGGAATCCGTGAAGAGGAGTAGCAGGAGAAGGAGCATCTGAACGAGCGGAAGATGCCAACGAGCGACAACTCCCTCAGCAGAGGTGTTTGGAGCCTTGACTGGCTGATAGAGGGCGATTGACGTCGGGTGACGGAGCAAGTAACGGAGGGGGACGGGATGTGAAGCGGGGGCTGGGGCAGGCAGAACCGCCGTATCTTTATCACGGGTTTTCCCAGGCCACCGAATGGCGACGCTTGCATATGCTGACGCAACGCTGTAGTCCCAACATGGGCCCCCTGGCCACGCTTGACTTTCTGGCCACATAGTCGACATACGGCTACGTTTACTTCCTCGGGCGGCTTGACGAAAAATTGCACACCGCCGAGAGTAGGAAACTTTGCCCCCGCTACTCCTCACATGGCTTGACTGCTACTTTCCTCCATGCACACCGGCAACACTACTGGCTGTGGTGGTAGGCTGCAGTGGAGCTGGTGCTCTACTTCCGTGGCCGTTTGCCTCCACTGACACTGCTGCGACCCTGCTGCCTCCTGGGCAACCCACCGACTGTTTTTATAGCTCGCTGCCAAGCTGGCACCCTCTTCTCCTGATGATGCGGAAGAAATAGCCTGATGACGACGAGGCCTGCCAAATGCGATCAGCCCTCAATCATCAACAATTCAGGGTCTCCGCCTCACTACTAGCCCCCTCGGCATGCGTGTGGGTTTAGGAGGACAAGACCTGTCTCTAGGACCGGCTACCGAGCCACTCTCCTCGCCACTACTTCTTCGCCTGGCTGCTGAAGAGGCAGATGTCTCCCCCCGGTCCTGACCGCCCTCTGTTAGCTCTTCCTTAACTGTACAGTGGGGGCTGAGCCACAGCATGCGAATACTTCGCTTGGTGAGGGAAACACCAAAGGACAGGGGCAGGTAGAGGACACAGTGATTTCAAAGTGGGCCTTGCTCCCGGCAGGCCATGCAACTAACGGTTGTGTCTGACGTACCCACCGACGTCGTTGGCTGTAGGTGTCAGAGTGACCTGGGAAGAGGAAGACGGACCGAGCCAACCAATCGATGACGGCAGGGTTGTCGGTGGAGACACGACCGCTGGATGATCCACTCAACGGGAGCACTGGCCTCTGGCTGCGACTAGTGCTGCCTCGACCCCTTCCTCTGCTTGCCACGTCTGCTCGCTCCTAAAACATGGACCACCTCTGACACTTCTCTGCGTGTTGTCTGACATACTCTTTCAATTCAACGATTAAGTGTCCTGAGTAACGATTCTGTGTCCCCTGAGGTAACAATTCTGTGTCCCTGAGTAACAGTTCTGTGTCCCTGTAGTAACAATTCTGTGTCCCTGAGTAACAATTCTGTGTCCCTCATAGTACAATTCTGTGTCCCTCAGTAACAATCTCCTGTGACCTGTCCCTGATTTAACAATTCTGTGTCCCTCAGTAACAATTCTGTGTCCCTGAGTAACAACTATTCTGATGTCCCGTCAGTAACAATTCTGTGGTCCTGTCCCTGAGTAACAATTCTGTGTCCCAGAGTAACAGTTCTGTGTCCCTGAGTAACAGTTCTGTGTCACTGAGTAACCAAATTCTGTGTCCCTGAGTAACAATTCTGTGTCCTTCAGTA